ATTTGTTAGAATAAATTCTCTTCTCATTCACTTCACTTTTTATTTTATTTATTTAAAAATAAGATGGTCGATAAATTAGAGGGTCGGTAAGGCTTGATCTCGAACGGTGAATTTGATAGTCTTTGATGAAGAAGTGCGTATGTGTGGCACGCTTATTGTTCTTCTTCTTCAGAAACTTCGGAGTGTTGTTTTTCTTCTTCAGAAACTTCAGAGTCTTTGTTGAGTCAGAACTTCGATATTCTGTTTGTCTCTTTCTTTGTGTGTCCTCAAAATGTGAGGGGTACAAGTGTAATCTTTTTCAATAAAAGATTAAACTAGAAACTATATAATCTTTTTTTTTTAGTATTTATTATTTTATTGAGTATTATTAGTAATTTAAATAATATAATTTTTTTTTTTTTTTTAAATAGGTCATTAAATGAGTTACACGTGTAATTCGTTTAATAAATAGGTCGGGTTAGTATTGAGAGTTCCTGACACGATTATAAATTGATCGTGTTTGGGTTGAGTTATTTAGTATAATATTCTTAAGTTGACACAACACGATTACGACCCGCGAACACGAATTGTCACCCTAACTAAAACCCATCAATTCTACCAAAACCTTATTAACCAAATTCCAATCAACTTTCCAAGGAAACAAGATACATTCAGGAACAGAAATCTGTTTTCCACGGTCCCTTGCATCCTACTAAATAATTTCTTCAATTCCTCATGAAATACATCAACCATGTTAGATGAGTAATATAACACTGAATTCATCAAATAATATCATGAATTCTACGATCCTCATCAAATACTTACGACATCTCACGGATCTAAGTCATATACCATTCACACACACACACACATATATATATACACAAACACACACATATACACTTACATATATCACGCCAGAAATTTTGCCATATGTAGTAGGATTTGGCACTTAGCATAATTGGGAACATATATCTCTATTTGCATTATTAATTGTATAGTGAATTCTTTATGGGAGTAGTTGTGAGACTCGGTCTTAAGAAGCTTCAATGAAGCTTGAAAACGTCAAGTGATGAGAGTTGCAACAAATTAATAAATCAATAGCCTTATGTCGGATAACCTACCATGCTCGCAACAAATTAATAAATCAATAATACAGGATAATCATATATATAATACATAATTGTGATACATATTTTGATAATTGAACACAATCAATTAAATTTATATAAATATGAAATGGCGTTATCACGATGTCATACTTATTTTTAAACAGTGAAATTTGACTAGTTGGTTTATATCATAATTGTTCATAACTAGTTGGTTTATATCATAATTGTTTTTCTGTTAGGGTCTTGAATTTTGACTGCATGTGGTAAAATTGTTCAAGTCGCAAAGAAGTACCTCCAAAAAAAAATTGGTTTGAATAACATTGTTTTACTAAGAATTGTCATTTTTTTTTTTTTTTTTATTTTATTCTTTCACCAGTTATGCTATCAACTCATTTGAAACCACAGGTAACACATTGGATAAACTAAAATTTCAACAAGTGAACACTTTAATTTTATTTTTTACATGCGAAGAAATTTAAGAAAATTTAAGTGTTAATATATTATTTTTATTTTTGTTTTCTTTTGATTTTTAAATTTCAACACATAGAATTAAGAAAATTTTGAATGGTAGGCCCCATTAGAATGATGTTATAATTACAAAAATACCCCTTACAAGAAATTTAAGAAAATTTAAGTTTTTCTCAAAATAATTTTCGTTTTAGGAGCTCACTCACTTTAGACTATGTCTAGATGTTGTTCCTATATTTTGCTAGAATGAATATCCATTGTGGTGGAAGTTTCTATTCCAAATCGTGTCACTAGAAGCAAGTCTATACAATATTACTTACCATATAGAAAATGATACATAAGACTTGAGCTGAAGTCTCTCGCAAAAATCTTTGTCCGAACCACGTCGCTAGAAGTTATATGTAAAATGATACAGAAGAAGTCTTCAAAAGTCTAATGTAAAAATCTCTATCCCAAACCGCATCGCTAGAAACAAGTCTATACAGCATTACTTATCATATGAAAAATAATACAGTGGACTTGAGCTGAAATTTTCTGCAAAAATCTTTATCTAAATCATGTCGCTAGAAGCTGTATGAAAAATGAAATAGAAGACTTTACTTTTCTCAGTCCAAACCACGTAATTAGAAGTTATATGAAAAAAGATACGGAGCACTTTTGTCGCGAAAATCATTGCATCCGTAGAATGCAAAGTGAGTCCCATCTTCTGAATGCAAAACCACTGGGCATGATCATGTAGCATTAAATAATTGGGTACAAGCAAGTCCCAGGCCCAAAGTTGGAGTAAACACCCACAATATTGATTCTAATGGACTCCAATATTTAATCTCTTTTGGATAATGTCAGTGCATAAAAAATAAAAAAATAAAAATGTGAACCATGCAGACAATATAAGCTTGCCCTATGCCTCTTCGATCATTCTAATTTGTATTTAAATAAATCGGCTACAACATATAATTCTTGCAAAAAGCCAGTAATAACATATGATTGATTTTTCCAAAATATTTTACCACTAACCTGAATGAGTCTCTACCATTGGAATGAGAGAGAAATTAGAATACCTAAAATGATATTTGAAATCTTGGGGATGTGTTAGGTATGATTGTGGTGGCAAACTTGGATTCAATGAGAGATAAATTTGAAAGCTTGGGAATGTGTTAGATATGATGATAGATAGTGGGTACAACGATGATAACTATGAGCTCAATTCTTTAGCTGCAATGACAGAGTTAGACTGAAGTTTAGGTAGATGAAAATTGTTCTCTTAGTGAAGTCCATTCCAAATTAAATAAGAAAAATGATACTTTGGCAGAAGAGCTGAGGACCCAAACTGCGTCGTTGGAAACAAGTTCATATTTCCCCAAACTTACAACTGTATAGAAGTCTGATGCAAAAATCTCTCCCAAAACGGCGTCGCTACAAGAAAGCCCATACAACATTACTACTATATGAAAAATGATACATAAGACTTGAGCTGAAGTGTTCTGCAAAAATCTCCGTCCAAACTACGTTGCTAAAAGCTATATAAAAAATGATATAGAAGATTTGAAAAATCTAATGTGGAAATCTCTGTCCCAAACTGCATCAAAAGCTATATGGAAAATGAAACAGAACGACTTCAAAAGTCTTATGTCAAAATCTCTGTCGTTGCTAGAAGCAAGTTCACACATCACTTATCATATGAAAAATGATACAAAATGCTTGAGTTGAAGTCTTCTGCAAAAATCTCTATTTAAATGATTTTATCATTAATGAAACGTGACATAATTAGCTTTCCTTTCTAGAGTTGAAATTATAATTGCTTGATGTTTAATTCGGTGTTTTATTTAATTATTTGTTTTATTTTATCAGGGTTTTGCCAGTAAGCAAGATGAGGATGATGGAGCCAACAAAAATAAAAGTAATGGCAGTAATTTAGTTGTTGATGGAATTCTATTACTTTTATTTAATTATTTGTTTTATTTTATCAAAGTTTTGCCAGTAAGCAAGATTGAGGGATTCCTCGCAGAACAGGCAAAAATCATTGTGACTTCTAATAAGGATTGGATGGGTTTTAGGTCTTCTGAGGCATCTGGTTACGATCGATCCTACTTGAACCACAATCGATCTTGACAGTCTACGATCGATCCTAATGCTAAAAACTATTTCCTCTGTCGTAATTTAGATGTCGCTTTTGGGAAGAAGGAATTTTTTAGGGGACATGTGGAACATGTCTTGTCTCAATGAAAAGTTATTAATTTGTCCTTATATTCAAGTTTGAAATTTTAAACTTCAAGGACATATATGAAAAGATGTAAAATATATTGTTTGAAAAAAAGGAAGTTGTGGAGGGAAAAATCTCCCTCCAATAAGAATTGAACACGTCATCACTATATAAATCTACATTTGGTGGATTTCAGAATCCCATCCGGATCAAGCCCAAAATACAATTATTCTTTAACCCAGTATCATTTATATTGGACCTCCAAGGCCAAGTAAAAACATCAATCAGCCCAACGTCACCACTATTGAAGTTCCGGCCCATTGGTCAAGTCACCTAAACTAAGTTGCATCCAGCCCAAGTACAATGAAATATTGTCCAGTCATATTAAGCAAAGGATTCAACACAGAAGAAAAGTTCTATACAAAGCAAGTTCTACGGAGGAAATATTATACAATAGAAAGAACTCTATTTGTAAAGAAAGTCATGTATGGGAAGAATTGGAGGACAAGCAACGCGAGTCCTACCATAATTCTACCAACTTTTGTGTATAAATAGAGGCCTAGACCTCCAATAAAGAGGCCAACCAATTCTATTCTTCTCTTTACATTGTTCTTGTTTATTTTTACTATTCTTGAGTGTATTGTATCATTTTTCTCAATCGTTATTAGTTGAGCGAAATTTTACACCTACACTTTGGCGCCGTATGTGGGAACGTGTGCAAATATATTCCCATTCTTATTTCACAGGTGAATCTTGCAACTACCATCTGAAATGTCGAAAGAGGATCTTCAACGGATCAACAGACAGAGTTGATGCAAAAGATGCGTGAAGAGTTTCTATACCAGTTTGACATACTTCGTCAGGCAAATGAAGCTAGCGTGGCTCAGATCGCCTTGCTTCAACATCAGAATAACACTCTGCAAACGGCGATGGCTCAATTGGCACCACCGCCACCACTAGGTGACACAGCAGCACCCCCTAATCAAAATACTCCTCCGATTAACGGGTTCCCACCTAATAGGGAACAACCTAACGAGGCTCAGCCAAATGAGGTTCAGCAACAACAGAGGGCAAGGTCCGAGGCTGTTGCTTCAGACAACGTCCCTCGTCGCACGCAGGACGAGCAAGTCGAGTCTAGCCATAAGCTCACAGTGTGGTCTAATAGAATTCCAGATGGCGTAGGTGTTCAGGATGCCTTTGATGAGAAAAGACTCCTGAAGATTCAGACACCTGCTTAGATGGCTAGAGAATACAAAAACTCCTTGGTCAAAACTCCTTTCACTGACGATGTGTATATGGTTGAGAGGCCCAAGAAATTTACCATGCCTTCTTTTATTCAGTTTGATGGTATGGGGGATCCTTCTCGACATCTAGATCATTACGCCCAAAAGATGGCTTTGGATGACCGTAATGACCCTTGGATATGCAGAGTTTTTCCTACCAACTTGACAGGAGTAGCACTAAAGTGGTTCAGGAATAGGCCACATAAATCCATCCTAGATTACGTAACTCTGTGCACCATGTTCCAGGCACAATACAGCGGAAATAAGAAGCAAAAGAAGAGTATTGCTAGCCTCTTCACCATAAGGCAAAAGAAGGGGGAAACATTGCAGGATTTCTTATCTAGATTCAACATGGAAGCCTCGGAAATAGCAGATTGCTATCCCGCGACTACTATAGAAACATTTAAACTTGCGATGATTCAGGGGACGAAGTTTCACACTTCCTTGGTCAAATATTCTCCTCTCGACATGCAGACTCTTAATAGCAGGGCCCAGATTTACATTCGGCTCGAGGAAAATGTAGCCCACCGAGTGCAGCACGCCACCCTCGTGACGGTGGAGAATAAGCCTCAAGAGAGAATTCCAAACTCAAAGATTCAGAAAAGCCAACCCGCCTCAACGCCGATCACCCAAGCACCTTAGAAGAGGCAAAGGATAGAGGAATGGTTTACACCTCTCCGAACTACCTTAGCTCGGCTCTTCCAAGAGAATAAGATGAAGTTCACAGCCCCGCAGCTAATGAAGCAACCCTTGGAGCAAAGGGACAAAAGCAAGCATTGCGCTTATCACCGAGATTATAGGCATTCAACCAATGATTGCAGATCCCTTAGGCGACAAGTGGAAAATATGATAGCCCGAGGAGAGTTGGTTGACTACCTCATGACAAAGGAGTATGTGAAGCCCCGCGAGGTCAATCCTCGCAAGGTAGAAAGAACTCAGGTAAAGGTCATTCACGCAATATATGGCAGATCTGAAGATGATCAAGAGTCCGAGGTGATATACAGATCCAGATTGAGGGTAGCCCATAAGCTCAGGAAGATATCCTCAGTCCATGCTATCACTTCGGGTAGCATCAGTATTGGATTCGGTGATGGCGATCTATCTAGAGTTCAGCTCCCCCATGAGGATCCATTGGTCATTAGTCTTTTAGTGGCAAATTGCATAATCAAGAGGGTTTTGATAGACTCAGGAAGTAACGCCAACATCATCACAAAGATAGTCTTTGAGCAGCTAGAGATCCCGACATCATCTATTCGACCTACCTCCAGCCCATTGATGGGGTTCGATGGCACAAGAGTAGATCCCCTTGGAGTAATAGACTTATCCGTAATTGCAGCGAAGAGGACTCTAAAAGAGAACTTTGTTTTAACAGAGATCCATCCTTCTTATAATCTCATCATGGGAAGAGATTGGATATACCGGATGAGAGGAGTTCCGTCCACCCTTCACCAGGTGATGCGGTGCTTGTCTCTGGACAGAAAAGAAGTGATTAACCTATGGGGCGATCAAGTCGCAGCGAAAGAATGCTATATGCTGACACAGGCTGAAGCAAAAAAGGTGTTTACTCAGCAGCAACCAGGTGTGGCTTCCAGAAATATACCCAAATAGCAATTACAGAGCCCTCTGCCCAAGTATCTTAAGGTAGAGGAGGAAGAGGAAATTGCAAAGCCTATCGAGGAGACCCTTAAAGCCGTAGAATTTATCCTCGACGGCCCTCAGAAGGTCACTTATTTAGGCTCTTCTTCCACGTCCGAAGAAAAGGAAGCATTAATTGATGTCATTCGAAGCAATACAGATGCTTTTGCATGGCATCACTCAGACATGGTAGGAATCGATCCTTTAGTCTCCTACCATAGCCTGAAGGTGGATCCGGAATTCAAACCGGTTAAGCAGAAATACTGAAGGTTTGCCCTCGAACGCAATCGCATTATAACTGAAGAAGTGAACAAGTTGTTGTAAGCAGGTTTCATTTGAGAAGTACAATATCCACAATGGCTGTCAAACATGGTGGTCGTACAAAAAAAGAATGAAAAGTGGAGGGTTTGTGTAGACTATACCAACCTTAACAAAGCCTGCCATAAAGATAGCTTCCCTCTGCCAAAGATAGATCAGATGGTTGACGTTACTACTGGCTACGAGAGGCTGACATTCCTTGATGCATACTCGGGATACAATCAAATTCTTATAAACCCATAAGATGAAGAAAAAACAGTTTTCATTACAGAAAAAGGGACTTATTGTTACAGGGTCATGCCCTTCGGTTGAAGAACGCCGGGGCTACTTATCAACGCCTTGTTAATAAGATCTTTGACAATTTGTTAGGGAAGACGGTTGAAGCATACATAGATGACATGGTGATCAAAAGTGTGAAGAAAGAAGACCATCCGAAGCACCTCCAGGAAGTTTTCAATACTCCAAAGAAGTATAATATAAAGCTGAATCCATCCAAGTGCTCCTTTGCGGTGTTATCAGGTCAATTCCTTGGTCATATAGTGAATAAAAGAGGGATAGAGGTAAGCCCGGCTCAGGCTAAGGCTCTCGTGCAAAATCAGGAACCAAAAAATCGTAGGGAGGTGCAAGTTCTTACCGGTCGGATCGCAGCCCTCAGCCGGTTTATATCCCGATTATCAGATAAATGCAAACCATTCTTTGATGTCATAAGATCTAAGAATAAAGATATATGGGGTCCTCAGCAACAGGAGGCCCTCAATCAGTTGAAAGGTTATATGGCCAAACCACCAATTCTATCTGCTCCAAAACCCGGGGAGGTTCTTATTATGTATTTAGCAATTTCTAGCATAGCGACAAGTGCAGCATTGATTAGAGAGGAAGGAAAGAGGCAACATCTAGTCTTCTACACAAGTAAGACAATGACAGATGCGGAGACACGGTATAGCAAAGCAGATAAAATCATCCTAGCCTTGGTTTATGCCAAGAGAAAGTTTCGGCATTATTTTGAATCCCATAGCATTGTGGTACTCACCAACTATCCTATACAGGGTATACTCTCTAAGCCAGATCTATCTAGGAGAATTACCAAATGGGCTATCGAGCTTAATTCCTACGACATAACTTATGAGCCGAAGGTGTCGCACAAGGGACAAATCGTAGCAGATTTTCTTTTAGAATATGAAGACACTCCTGAAGAGCCAGAACCTCCTGAACCATAGTGGGAGCTTCGGGTCAATGGCTCCTCGAATCAAACAAGTGCAGAGTTGGGGTTGTTATGTCAACACCCGAAAGCACCAAGTTGCAGCAGTCCATTTGCTTGAATTTCCCTGCTACGAACAATGAGGCTGAATATGAGGCATTACTTGCTGGTCTTCGATTGGCCAGTAGCCTCCAGGTACGTTGTTTAAAGGTTTTTAGTGACTCACAGCTTGTTATAAATCAAGTGACAGGTCAGTATCATCCCAAAGAGGAAAGGATGAAAGCATATAAAGAAGCTGTGGAGAATGTTACACGAGGATTCGATCAAGTCGAATTCCACCAGGTACCTCATGTTGAGAATGTCGAAGTAGATCAATTGGCCACAGCAGCGTCATCCTCAAATGAAGATCTAACTCGGATTGTGCCAATTGACGTCTAGCATCAACCCTCAGTAAGAAATAATGGTGATTCCAGTCATTCCGCGAGAGCCATGCTGGATTGATCCACTAGAAGCCTACCTCAAGCATGGAACTCTTCCAAACCAGAAAACTGAGGCGCGGAAGCTCCGACTCACCACAGCTAAATATGCCATCATTAACAACCAGTTATACCGGAAGTCATTTTCAGGTCCTTACCTGAAATGTATAAGCCCTACTGAGGCTCTTATGGTATTGAAACAAATCTATGATGGAGATTGCGGCAACCATTCTGGAGGTAGATCCCTTGCACATAAGGTTTTAACTCAAGGCTACTTCTGGTCGTACTTGGCTCGGAATGCTAAAGAGTATGCTCGAAGATGTGACAAGTGTCAGCGCCACGATCCAATGAAGTATCAACCTGCCGAAGATTTGCATGCAATAGCAAATCCATGGTCGTTCGCACAATGGGGGATTGATATGGTGGGCCCCTTACCCAAAATCGTGGAACAAAAGGAGTACATGCTACTGGCTACAAATTATTTTACTAAATGGGTAGAAGCCGAGGCTTACTCAAGTGTGACCCATAAGTAGGTAAAAAGTTTCCTTTGGAACAACATCATTTGCCGGTTTGAGGTCCCAAAAGTCATTATGATGAACAATGGTAAGAATCTCGACAATAAAAGAACAAGAAAATTCTTTGCTGAGCATGGAATTGTACAAAAACTAGCTGCAGTCAGTCATCCATAAGGGATGGACAGGCTGAAATAACTAACCGAACCATTTTTAGTTGTTTAAAGAAGAAGCTGAAGAAACTCAAAACTAAATGGTACGAGAATCTCCCTCAGGTGCTTTGGGCGTACCGAACCACTCCACGCACGGCCCACGGGAGAAAGTCCATTTGTCATAGCTTATGGATCCGAAGCTGTGATCCCAACCGAAGCGGCAGTTCTAACCCTTCGGACATTCTTGTTACTTGAAGGAAACAATAGTCAGCAACTCGAACATAGCCTCGATCTCCTGGATGAGAAGAGGGATGATGTAGCAATTAGGCTTGCTTCGTATCAGCAACAGCTGCGCAATAGTTATAACAAACGCGTTAGGTTCAGGAGCTTTGTGGTAGGCGATTGGGTTTTGAAGCAAGAGACAGCTTATGTAAAGAAACTGGAACCTAATTGGACCAGACCCTATAGGGTTACTGAAGTAGTGGGGAAAAAAATCTCCCTCCAATAAGAATTGAACACATCATCACTATATAAATCTACATTTGGTGGATTTCAGAAGCCCATCCGGATCAAGCCCAAATTACAATTATTTTTTAACCCAGTATCATTTATATTGAACCTCCAAGGCCAGGTAAAAAATCAATCAGCCCAACGTCACCACTGTTGAAGTTTCGGCCCATTGGTCAAGTCACCTAAACCAAGTTACATCCGGCCCAAGTACAATGAAATATTGTCCAGTCCTATTAAGCAAAGGATTCAACACAGAAGGAAAGTTCTATACAAAGCAAGTTCTACGTAGGAAATATTATATAATAGAAAGAACTCTATTTGTAAAGAAAGTCATGTATGGGAAGAATTGGATGACAAGTAATGCGAGTCCTACCATAATTCTACCAACTTTTGTGTATAAATAGAGGCTTAGACCTCCAATAAAGAGGCCAAACAATTCTATTCTTCTCTATACATTGTTCTTCTTTATTTTTACTATTCTTGAGTGTGTTGTATCATTTTTCTCAATCGTTATTGGTTGAGCAGAATTTTGCACCTACAGAAGTGGATAATTATTTTGGGATAGGCCAAAAAGAAAAATATGACATTTCTTTTTTGGATAGAGGGGGTATATGAAAAATAATACAGAAGACTTCCACTGCGAAAATCATTGCATCCGCGGAATGGTAAGTGAACCCCTTCCCATGCATCAATCTTTAGGCTGGTCTTGCCCAGCAATGACAATGATTTATAACGAACATTTCCATTTGCTCCTTTTTCTGTGAGACATTTGTTCGGTGATTACTCACCTTCAGAAACTTTGGGTTTGGTTGTACAAGAGATTGGGTTCGATGATGGTCAAAAGTGTGTTGGAATTGGATTTTGGGCCCATGTGCTATTTTTGCACCGGAAAACAAAGATTGGGTTATGACTTCGTGGGTCAGGCTCAGTTAGTTTCTTCGAAATTGGGTTTGAAGAGGAGTTTCCTCCTTGAAGGATCAAGTTTGGATTAAGGCCACAAAATGGGTCCTTGGAGGATATAAATGAAATGTAACCAGCATGAATTTTGTGACAACATTCACTGATGGTCGTCATATCACAAAAACTCATAGGAGCTAAGTGATCTAGAATTTTGGGATAACATTAAAAACTCATAGGAGCTAAGTGAGATATATATATATATATATATATATATATATATATATATATAGAGTCCTGATCTTTTACTTTTCGTGGAGTAAGAAAATTAATCCACACTTTTTATATAGACCGTTAGATTAAATCTAATGGTTATTTTTCAAACGCACCTATAGCCTTTCCTTTTAACACGAAACCACTCTCACCCTATTTTGAGTTTCTATATTTAATTTTACCATTACCAATAATAAAAGGTAATTACCAAAATAAAAATAGAAATCTTTGAAAAAAAATAAAAATAATATCAGTATATTTTACTAAATTTTTTTTTATATATTTAGATGTTTTTTTAAAAGAAATATCTCTGCGATTCACTTCACCTCTATTTTTCACATTTATGTCAAACAAAGAAGAATTAAAAGAGAATTGATAGGGATTAGGCTAAGGTACTATATATTTTTTATGTTTCGTCTTCTTTATTTATTTTGTTTTGAAAAAGTAAATTTGTTTTTTTGTTTAAATCTTTAAGTTCTGTGTGGCTCCTTATTCTAATTACTATTGTTCAACCTCCTTTGCCTAGTTTTATAAATCACTAATTCAATACATAAAGTTAAAATCTTATTACATTAATTTTAATTGATTCAAATATAATTTTAATTCAAAGGAAGCCTTTATAACATTACTTATCATACAGTAGACTTGAGCTGAAAGTTTTCTGTCTAAATCTTCTACAAAATTATGTGTCCAAGTCGCACTATGTCTAAGTCTTCTCCAAGTCACACTATGTCCAAGTCCCGCTATGTCCAAGTCACACGTAGATGGAATGATAATTAGACTTTAATTTTTGCAGTTCAAATAAGGTATACGGAAATTATTGCAACCACGTAAATACAAAGTGAGACCCATCCCATCCCATTTTGAATGCAAAACCACTTGGCGTGGTCCAAGTAGCATTTACTAGTTTGGGGACAAGCAAGTCCCAGCCCCAAAGGGACGGCAGCGCGGGAAGAAGATGCCAAAATAATTCCAAAGGACACTAGAAAATTCAAAGTTGCTGTTCTCTCTAAGCCCAGTTTTGTTGAGCCCATTTTGTGGCCTTATCCAAGGAACCCTTGCTCTTCAAACCCAATTCGGAAGAAGCTAACTTAGCGTGACCTACATATGGCCAATAACCCAATCTTTATCTTCCTGAGCAAAACTAACGCCCCAAAATTCAATTCCAACATCCTCTAGACCGTCGAACCCAATTTCTCCTGGACCCCACCTCAAATACCAATCATTCTCCATAAATCATAATCTTGATGGTGAAATTACTAAATTATCCTTACTTTATCATTAATAGAACCCCTTTTGTATCTAGTGACAATTAGTAATCCTAATTGCATAAGGACATCTCAATAATTTGTGATCAACAGATTCCACCGCAAGGCCACACTTCAAACACCATCATTCTCCACAATACATTTCTTCTTCAAATTAGCCGAAACATGAAATTTCTTCTTCAAATTAGCCGAAACATGAAGTGGATCAACTTGCCTTTGCTTTTAATCTTCCAGTGCTTGTTTCAGAAACCGTATACAATTTGAACCTCAGTAGCCTATCTGCATAGTTCCTCTGATGTGCAAGCTCTTGCACTCAATCAAAAGCAACTCTAAAAAGCATTACTTTCTTATCATTGGCCATGGTTTCACTCACAATTAAACTGGCCTAAATTAACTGTGTTACTTTTGTTGGTATCTTCACTAACTTTACGGACTAATACAATATTAGTGGAATTAGTTCAGTGAGTAAGAAGTCATTAAACGCCCCTGTGATTCATCTCTGTGGCTTCCTTTAGAAGTTGTTGATTCATCTCATGTGTTATTTTTGGCTCCAAAAAGACTCCACTAATTCTCACCACAATGGTTAAATATACACAAACAAGTTACTCTTTTGTTTCTTTCTCTCTCAAGTCATGTGTGAACTGAGAAGATCTAAAATCATGTAACTAATATGTAATGAATGCAAAACTAATGTGTAATTAATTTGAAGAGTTATTGTAGAATATCTACACTTGTGTAATTAATGTAAAATATTTAAAGTCGTGTAGCATTTGGATCATTTTGGGCCCATTAAACCATGCAATAAAAAGCATTTACATGTGTGTGTGTATGTGTATATATAAACTAGGAAAAGGCATGTGCGATGCACGTGGTGAATATTTTGTAACTTATAAAAATTTTGTCTTCATATTGATTAATAAAAATTTATTTT